GCGGGCCTTCGTCTTTCAGACCGAGTCGTGCTTCTTCTTCAGCCGTAGAGAGGGGAAAGGGCGTCGTGGTTGATGGCTATGAGTCTGAATCCGATCTTGATCCCGATGATGTTAGAATGTTCAAGGAAGGCCTTACCCGCACGGTGGTAAGAGCGGGAGGTCCGTCCCGTATTCTTGAAATTCCATCGGAGATTAACCTTATGTGGGACACGAAAGACTTTGTATCATAGTTTGACCTTTTGTGCTCTGCTGCAAAGTGTAAGGCTCTTTGGGACATCCGTGACGTTGATTTGATGCATGAAGTGGCCGCTATAGGCCTAAGGGTAAGTTTATCCTCTTTGTTCTTTTTTGTGTTCCTTTTGTTTCTGGTGACCTCGACCTTTACCAGCTTTTTTCTTCTTTTTTGGGGCTTTCACCCGTACATGCTGGAGATTGAAAGTGCTCGCAGGGCCGACACTCGGGCAAAATGTTTTACATGATATTGGAGAAGTATCAGTGCTATCGCACCAAGTGCCGTGAGATGCACGAACGGCTCAGGGCGAATGCCGGTAATCAATCTCTCGGGGAGGAACTGGAGAAGAGGGATCAGGAGTTTATATGGTCTATTTGCAGAAATAGCGAGCTCGATGAGCTACTTCGTGTAAATGACGAAGAACTTGAGTTGGGGAAAGGGGTCGTCGTAGTGTATGAGCATCTTCAAGAGAATGTGTTGTTGTTGCAGTCCGAGTTGGATCAAATGCCATCAGAGTTGAGGCTTTGAGTGTAGAGTGGATGGGGAAATTAACCGAGCTGGAGAGGAAGGTCTCCGAGTTGGAAGTGCCGATGGTGCTTGAGTGTCTGCTTCATCGAGGGTTGTGGTGTTGGAGGACACTATCCGCATCCTTCAATCCGAGCGGGAGTCTGAGAGGGCGACGGCTACGCTGAGGGAGGCGAGGCTTGAAGAGCTCATTGGCGAAATTGGTCGGGAACCTTCAAACTTGGGAGATCAGGTCGTTGCTATTGAGGCCGAAAAAGGTGCAATTATTGGCATAAGTCGAATCTGCCTCCACCGTTGTTCATCGCCATTTGCACGATCTATGGGTCCATGCCTAAGCCCAGCGGGACATATACAAGAGTTTGTGGGATGGGAGGTGGGCAATGTTTCTGAGGCCACCTATGAAGGAGCTCGGGCGAAGGCACGATAGGCTCGTGTTAACTGTGGCTACGATCCTGCCACACTGGAGGCCTGCGAGGATGTTGATGCTGAGGAGAAATTTCCTAGAGATGGTGATGGGGAGGACGGTAGTGATGACGCCGAGTGAAAAGTTGTTACCTTAATCTATTTTTTTTTTGCTTGTCTTTTCTTTCTGTTTTTTATACCGGGCCGGTTTTGGCAGTGTATAATCTGCGGCCATTTGCGCAACTGTCCAAATAAAAGGGATTTTCATCGTTGTACGTCCTTTGTATTTCTCTCTCTTCCCCTTGCTTTACATTTTTTTTGCTTTGGCGTAGACTTTCGGATTTTTGTATGGTGAATTCCTAACTTTTTAAGGAAACCAATTTTAGCCGGACCGAGTAGAATTTCGTCGCATGAGTCCGAATTGAGTCTCTTCGGATTCGCATATTTGGGCGAGATTGATTTTTGACTTGTCGCTTTAAGCAGATTCATTTTTGGCTCAAACGAGGTTATATTTGGATTCGTTGTTTTGGATAAATCAGTCTTGACTTGAGTTATTCGAGTGGGATTGAACTGTTGTTGATTTGGGCGAAGTCACTCTTTTCATATACATTTGAGCGAGGTCGAATTCGGAGCTTGTAGCGAAATCAATTTCTTAGTAAGTAAAAAAAAGTGTTTGACGGTGACCAATGGCTGCAAAGGCGTTATTGACAATAAGATTGGGATGTTAGTCCGTATAGTTCGAGCAAGGTCAAACTCTCCTTTTTATGATGGACCTTTGCCGTAGGGGTGTTATTTTGAGCTAATGTCGAAATGTTAACCCATTATGATTCAAACGAGGCCGAACTATTCTCTTTGGTGATAGCCCTTGGCTGTTGGGGTGTTATTTCGAGCTAATGTCGAAATACTAACCCGTTACGACTCGAACGAAGTCGAACTCTTCTCTTTGGCAATGACCCTTGGTCGTAGGGGTGTTATTTCAAGCTAATGTCGAAATGTTAACCCGTTATGATTCGAACGAGGTCGAACTCTTCTCTTTGGTGATGACCCTTGGTCGTAGGGGTGTTATTTCGAGCTAATTTCGAAATGTTAACCCGTTATGATTCGAACGAGGTCGAACTCTTCTCTTTGGAGATTGCCATTGACCGTAGAGGTGTTATTTCGAGAACAAGGTCGAACTATTCTCTTTGGCAATGACCCTTGGTCGTAGGGGTGTTATTTCGAGCTAATGTCGAAATGTTAACCTGTTATGATACGAACGAAGTCGAACTCTTCTCTTTGGCGATGGCCCTTGGCCGTAGGGGTGTTATTTCGAGCTAATGTCGAAATGTTAACCCGTTATGATTCGAACGAGGTCGAACTCTTCTCTTTAGCGATGGCCCTTGGCCGTAGGGGTGTTATTTCGAGCTAATGTCGAAATGCTAACCCGTTATGACTCGAACAAAGTTGAACTTTTCTCTTTTCTTACTTGATTTTTTTTTGGAGAATTGTGGGTGTCCCCTGGGGGAGTCCCAGTTTGCTTAATTTTGCTTGCCTTGGGGAGTATGATGACGGGGAGTATAAAATGTTGTTGTTTCGATAACTGGGGGTGCAGTATGCGTTCGTTTCATGCATATATTAGGATTTTCCTATATCTAGTCCCTTCATCGTTCATCCTGGAGAGCTCGTCGGTAGGCGAGGTGATGAATTATACCTTTAACTTAGAGACGTCCCCCTCCTCGCCTCGTTAAAAACCTCCCCGAGAAAACTAATTGGGACGAAACTCGGGTGAGGGAAAGAGAGTACGACTTGAGGGGCGTCATTTTTCAGAAGTTGAAGTGTTTGAGATGAAAAACATTCCAGTTGTTTTGTAGTGATTTTCCTTCCATTGTATCTAGTTTGATCGCTTGATCGTGCGACGCTTGTGTTCTTGTTTAAACTAACAACAAATGGTAAATTAGAATGAGATTTTCCCTACCTCGATTCAATGAGTCGGTGAACGAGGATAGCCTTATAGCGTTGCTTGTTCTGCCTGACGTTTAAATGGTTGATGGAATGGTGGTTTTTAGATTCGGCGGCCATATTTAGCTTCCTCTTTTTTTAGAAGTGCCCTAGCTCCGCTTGGGTTAGGTTGGCCTTAGCTGTTGCGGTGTTGAAATCGAGTCCCGGTTCGATCTCATTTTATTTGTACCCACAACAAGGGAGACATGTCGTACTTTGTTCATGGATCATCCAATATGCGGGGGAATGTGAGAGCAGGGCAGGATGTGCCCATTCTCTTACAGGATTGCACATCAGGTGTCGTCCTCTCATGTGGGCTTTGCGTGAATATTGGTTGTAACTTCTGCTTTTATGTAGCAGCCTGATCTGGATCAATCTTTCGGGTGGGTGGTTACATTTTACCGGTTTTGGATCTGAAGGAAACTAGGAAATTTGGCTATGAAATCCCCATAGACGGCGCCAAATTGTTTGAACAAAAAGTTTAGGGCTCTTTTGCCAACTTCAATTGTCAATAATAAAGAAGGTAAATTTTAGCCAAGCACATTTAACTTCAGATACAAACATATACAACGAGAAATAATGAAAGGTAAGAACATATTAGATTTATTGATGTCATAATCTTACATCAAACACAAGAGATAACTTACATCTGAAACCAAAAAAAATTGTAAATAAAAGAGTGAAGCAACTGTTCATCCGCGAGAGATTCTTCTTTCCCCTTCCTATTTTTTCTATTCTTCCTCCTCTGTCTGTTGTTCCTCTTTTTCTTCCAAAAAGTCCCCCTTTTATTTGTGCGTATATATATATATATATATATATATATATATATATATATATATATATATATATATATAGAGAGAGAGAGAGAGAGAGAGAGAGAGCGCTCCTAGAACTTCTATTCAATGGTCTTTGACCAATATGCTTTTCTGCGACTGTCCCTTTCGTCATCACTCGAACACAATACTAACTTGACATATGCTTTCGATGATTTGACCCCGAGGTCGGCCGAAGTGTTCTTTGCTATTTCGCCACCTAGGCAGGATCCCAACTTGGTCGACCGTTACGGCCAGATTTTGACCCATACAACACGATGAACAATTGTGAAAAAATTTATCAAAAATATTTTTATTAATCAATAACTAAAATTGAAGGCTCGAAAATGATAGGCCCAAACCATAAATTATATTGACCTTTATTCGAATTTTATTGTTTTTCTTATTGATATTCTATGTTTATTGAAAATTTATCACCAATACAAATAAAGTTTCTTCAAATTTTTATAATTGGTCTAACTCCAATAATATCATTCATTAATTTATAGATAACATACTTGTACTTGGTATATACGCCTATTACCAATTTAGATTGACCACAAACTTTCAATTTATCCTGGTGACATATGTACCAAGAAAAAATAATAATAAATGCTCCATTCGTTCATTTTTACTTGATACATTTTGACTTTTTACACTCCTTAAAAAAATAATAAATGAAGTACATAATTTATCATGATACCCATATTAATTGATACATATTTTATTGGATTTGAAAAAATAATTTAAAATGAGCAACAAATACTGTGGGTATAACAAAAACAAAAATTATCTTATCTTGATATGCATAAAGTGACAAATAAAACTGAAAAAATCTATTTTTAATATAAATACAAGTAAAAGTAAACAAGTGAGTAGATGATTAGGTACTATAATAGGTGTAACATACTAATATCGGGTAAAATGCGGATGCGGAAAAATTGCAAATTTGGAGGGGAGAGCGAGGGGCAATAACGTGAATTCAATGGAGCAGAACGTAACAGAAATAAATTAAAAAACTGGTGGGAAAACGAAAAGAAAGCTGCCAAAGACAGAGTATTATGAAAGAGAAAGTGAGTGAGAGAGAGAGAGATTATACTAACAAGGCAAGGAAAAGGGCAAGATTTCTTCAACGAGTCTTGTGATTTGCATCACCAACACCAATTCCAACGCCAAAACCAACGAATGGAATCGTTTTTCTTAACCGAAACCTTTCCCCACAACTATTACACCACCACCACTTCTCTCCATCTACTGTTATTATTATTATGCTTCTTCCTAATCTTTTCCCCCACTTCTCTCCCCTCTTTTCTCTCCCTTTCTTCATCTTCTCCACTCTTTCTTCTTACTAATAATCGCTCTTTCAGATCTGCTGCTACTTCTGTGAGATTTCCAGTTTTTGAGGTACCCATCTGTTTTTGTTCTTATTTTCTGGGCACTTTTTTGATTTTCTATGCCCATTTTGGGACATGGGATTTTCGTTTTTATGTTTGCCGACTCGATCGATGATCAATCGCATGTACTTTATTTTGTGGAACCAATATTTGGGGTTAGCCTCGGAAAAGGGTATCCGCTTGTGGTTTTCTTTTTTATAGTTATTTACTCCAGAAGTTGGGTTTTATTGAGATTCTGTAGGTCCTGCTATAATTTTTCAGGAATATGTTTGGAGAAGGAAGTAAAAGCAACAATTTGTTTCCAGCGTTATTAGAGGGGAATTGTTTCCAGTACGATGCGAGTGCATTGCCTCAGCTGCAACTGTTTGGTGATTGTGAGTTTCCCAATTGCTTCTCCCCGAGAATTTTACATCCAGCAGTCTCCATTAAGAATTCTTATATTGCAATATACTAAGTACTCACTAATTTGATTCATGATTTTCGTTTTTTATGTTACTTTTTTTCTGCTTGATTTTTCGTTAGGAATCTGGTAGATTGATTGTTAATGCAGTCTCTATGTGGTTTGGTTTTTCTTTTATTTTTTTTCCCTCTTTTGTGTTTGAATGTCCACGTTCAGCATGGCTTTGCAGAACTTTCTAGTTCTTGAGTTAAAGCAATTCCACCAGGTTGATACGAACTAATCTGTATTAGTGTTATAAAGACTCATTCGAGTGAAAACTAGGCCATTGGCGTGTATTGCACTGCTAGATGAATTAAAATTGTTCCAGGGCATATGTGGAGAGTACCTTGTCTTTGTGGTTGTTCGGCACCTCCAATGCCTAAAGCCTGAGGTAAAGCATTGGCAATTGGTTGAGTGTTTAATCAGGAAATCTTATTAGAATTGACAAGTTGCACCCTAGGCTCTTGATAATGATCACCTGCATTATTAGCATTCTCTTCAACATCTTTGGTCTATCCTGTTAAGATTTAGAATTGGGTAGAAAGAGGAGACAAGCAAAGAAGCCAGCATGTAGGAAATACATTTCACGACTATATGTTGGTGACGGTTTTGAGCTTATGCAGATTTTATAGAATCCTATTTACGTGGAACCATTCTATGAGATGGGCGGAAGACTTGTTTTAATTTAAATTTGAAGAATGCAAGAAGACATTAAATGATAGGTGCCTGTTGTTCTTGTTCAGATCACTTGAGGAAACTGAGTTCGTTGTTGTTTTCTTCAGCTTTATCTTTTAGATCAATTTGATTTTCATAGACTTTAAACATGCGTTGCATAATGTAACCTTTTTCTAGATATCTTCAGAAAGTTAAGTAGCTTCATGCTAAAACCTAGAGCTTTTTTAGTCTGAATATATCATTATGTTTTTGTGACTTAATTGTATTTGAAACAAAAGTCCAAATAATGAGTTGGGAATCGTTGTCTGGAGTAAACAATTCGAACTCGAGGTAAAGGAGGGTTGGGTGTTCTTTCTGTCCCTTCTGCTCAATCTTATTTGTTGCTTCCAAAAAATAAATCTTTATGTGTGGCTGTTAGATGAGGTGCCATTGGTGAATGGTGTATTAGTTGTGGCCGGTGAACGGTGAGCCTTGCAACTGCCCAAAAAAGGAAATTGTGACTGTATGGACAGACTGTCATCAAGATGAAGCACATTCATATTCTCTTATTATTTTCTACCATTTAAATTTAAGGATTCTGTTTGATATGATACCTGATTTGGGACAGTATCATTTTGATATCTGACTAATAAAGGTACACGCTACACACAAACAGTATGCAACTTAGTCACTTCTGGGTAAGAGGGCAATGGAAAGATTACGGTTAATGCTTCTGATGATGTCAATACACACTCTATTTGTTATTCTGATTATGTATATGATGCTTGTTTTATAGTCTGTGACAGTGAACTAGTGTACTTAGCTAAAACTATTACTTTATAATTTATACCGACCTTTCTCCATAAGTACTGCTTTCTTGGATTATGAATATTTAAGAAGTCAAATTTTATGTGCCGAAAGTTTCTTCACCCCTTTGTCAAAACATAGAGTTCTTTGCTTTTATCTAACTCAGGCATGGTAGATTAGATTTTCTCTATGTGCTTCAGTCAGGGGAGGATACCGCTTCGCCGGAAAAATTTTACTAAACATGTACATATAATTAAAATACAGAAACACAAATAGGTTAAATGGAGTAAATGTGACACCACTTGACACATCAGACGTGTAGCAGATTTGGTGACACGTCAGATTTGGTGAAGCGCTGTAAATGTTCAGGAGAGGTCATGGGTTCGAAACTGGGCAGCCCCATTTTCTGTTTTAATTTCTTTATTGCATCGTCTACTAAATAAAAATTGTGTTCGGTGGAGTTTGAACGTATTCCAAGTTTTTTTAATCTTCTTTTTCTCTTTTCATCTTGTCTCTAGGCATGAAATTGATTAAGAACGATTTGTGGAATCAAATAAATGATAAATTTTTGTGTGATTTTTGGTTGTTTATATAAAAAAAGTATTTAATATTGTTAGCGGAAACGTAAAAGAAAGAACACAAGATTTAACGTGGTTCGGATCAAAATAATCCTACGTCCACCAGAGAACAGTTGCCTTTTTATTATTAACAAAGGAAGGGGAGAGTTCCCAATTACACTTAAGAGAATTTCTGTCTTAACTCTCTACTCACTACAATGTATTGTATTATTTTTGGGATGGTTTCTACAAATGAAGAAGTGCATCTATTTATAGAGGTAAAAACCTCCTCTTGATGTCATTGGTGATATCAAACTACCTCATCTTGATGTCATAGGTGACATCAAAGGAGGAAGCTTCCTCCTAGCATCCACACCAACTCTTTCCACCAACTCTTCCAATTGGCATGCCATTGTTGACTAAACATAAACCAACACTTTCAATCTCCACCTTGGTTTGCGTTTCGAGCGTGCGTGTGAACAACTCTGGCCAAAACTTCTAAGCTTACTGGGCAACCCCGTTGTAAGAAACAAGAAGAATCAAACCATTGTTGAACATACCACCTCCACCTAACACCTGTTCTCTTCGGAGTTGCATCAGTTGATGCACACCCCCGCCAAGTCCTTGCAGTGTGCAAACTTAGCGAGCGGGGCTATCTTGGTCAACATGTCTGCAGCATTATCGTCTGTGATAACCTTTACGACCTTGATAGTTTCCTCTTCAACATCTCGAATAAAATGAAATCTGACATCAATGTGTTTAGTGCGCTCATGAAATCTCTGATTTTTCATTAGATGAATAACACTCTGACTATCACATCTAAGAGTTGATTCCAGCTGAACCAAACTCAATTCCGCTACTAAACCTTTCAACCAGATAACTTCCTTCACCGCTTCCACTGCTGCCATGTATTCTGCTTCTGTCGTAGACAAAGTGACAATCGACTGCAGAGTCGACTTCCAACTAACGACACTGCCAACGAGGGTAAAGATGTATCCAGTTATGGACCTTCTTCTGTCAAGATCTCCTGCATAGTTAGAATCTACATAACCGAGAATTGAAATACCTTCACCACTTTTTTTAGATATCTCAATATCCACTTGACAGCTTCCTAATGCCTCTTTCCTGGGCTGGACATGTATCTACTTACCACACTTACAGATTGAGCAATATCTGGACGTGTGCATACCATAGCATACATAATACTACCAACTGCACTGGCATAAGGAATCTTTGACATATGCTCCACCTCATCCTCGGACTGAGGCATTTGTGACTCTGAAAGTTTAAAATGAGGAGCTAATGGTGTACTTACAGGCTTGCACGTTTGCATATTGAATCTCTCGAGAACCCTTTCAATATACCTCTTCTGAGAAAGATGTACAACACCGTCTTCTCTTGAAATCTCCATACCAAGGATTTTCTTTGCAGCCCTTAAATCCTTCATGTCAAATTCCTTACTCAACAGTTTCTTCAAAACATTTATCTCTGTAATGTTGTTAGCAGCAATAAGCATATCATCAACATATAACAATAAATAAATCATTGAGTTACCAGACATCTTCTTGTGATACACACAACGATCAAATGCACTCCTTGAGAATTCATGTGTAGTCATGAATGCATCAAACCTCTTGTACCACTGTCTAGGGGATTGCTTCAAACCATACAAAGACTTCTTTAGTTGGCATACGTGATCTTCTTTTTCCTCAGTTAGGAAACCTTCAGGCTGATCCATATAGATTCTCTTCTAGATCACCGTGTAAGAAAGCAGTTTTGACATCAAGCTGTTGAAGCTCCAAGTCAAATTGTGCAACCAATGCTAGTAGCACGCGAATTGAGCTATGCTTCACGACTGGAGAGAAAATCTCATTGTAGTCAATTCCCTCCTTCTGACTGAAACCTTTTGCAACCAATCTCGCCTTGAATCTAGCATCTTCCACTTCAGGAATTCCCTCTTTATTTTGGTAGACCCACTTGCATCCAACTGTCCTCTTCCCCTTTTGTCTTTTCACTAAGACCCATGTCTGATTCTTGTGAAGAGACTCCATCTCTTCAGTCATGGCTAACCGCCATTGTNNGTTTGCTTGATCTATAAGGCGTTCCGGTTCTCGTGTCTGCCTCTTCTCCCTCCCCTTCACAATTGTGTATGGTTCATTGACAGCAAGTTCTTCAAGGTCTACATCTTCTGACTCATCTTTAACCTGAGTCTCTTGATCCTTTTCCTTGGCAAGCTCCACCGGAAGCTCCACCTGCTCGTTGTTCTTGTTTCCTGAAAACTNACTCCACGGAAATTTTACGGGGATCAAGTATAGAGGATTTATCGAAGGTGACATCTCTACTAACTATAAATTTGAGCAAAGACAAACACCAAAGTTTGTACCCTTTTACTCCATCCACATACCCTACGAATATGGCCTTCTTAGCCCTTGGTTCAAGCTTTCCTTCATTAACGTGATAATAAGCTGGACACCCAAATACTCGTAAGTATGAATAATTAGAGGGTTCACCTGACCATACCTCTTTCGGAGTCATAAAGTCAATTGCCGATGCTGGAGATCGATTGACAATATGAGCAACAGTGTGAACTGCTTAAGCCCAAAATACTTTGGACATTTTGGCTTGTAGGAGCATACAACGAGCCTTTTCAAAAAGAGT